AGAGCGGAGGGATGTTCCGCCTTTCTCTCGCAGATTTTTGTAATAAAGTCGTGAACCATATTCATTCGAATGTTAATGAATCTGAAGTTTGGCATTCACGTCTTTGTCACATTAGTTTTGGTGTTATGACGCGGCTAGCCAAGTTGGATTTAATCCCGAGTTTCACTTTAGCCAAAGGTTCTAAGTGCCTTTCATGTGTGCAAGCTAAGCAACCTCGCAAGCCTCATAAGGCCGCGGAGGAGAGACACCTGGCACCATTAGAACTCATACATTCTGATCTTTGTGAGATGAATGGTGTGTTGACTAAAGGTGGAAAGAGATACTTCATGACATTGATAGATGATTCCACTAGATATTGCTATGTGTATCTGTTAAATACTAAAGATGAGGCTCTACACTACTTTAAAATCTATAAGGCAGAAGTTGAAAATCAACTTGAAAAGAAAATTAAACGAGTCCGGTTAGATCGTGGTGGAGAGTAGTTCTCGAGTGAGTTTGATTCCTTCTGTGCGGAACACGGCATTATTCATGAGAGGACGCCTCCCTATTCACCCCAGTCAAACGGGGTTGCCGAGCGGAAAAACCGTACTCTAACTGATTTGGTTAACGCCATGTTAGATACATCGGGTTTATCCAAGGCATGGTGGGGGGAGGCTATATTGACGGCATGTCATGTCCTGAATAAAGTTCCGACAAAGGATAGTGAGATCACTCCCTATGAGAAATGGGCAAAGAGAAGGACGACACTCTCGTACTTGCGCACTTGGGGCTGTTTGGCGAAAGTCAACGTGCCGATCCCCAAAAAGCATAAGCTTGGACATAAGACCGTGGACTGCATTAATTTGGGCTACGCTAAGAACAGCGTTGGCTATAGATTTCTAGTAGTGAAATCTGAGGTACTTGACCAGAAGATCGATACAATTATGGAGTCTAAGGATGCTACATTCTTTGAGGATATTTTCCCTATGAGAGATATGCAAAGCACTTCTAGACAGGAATCTGAGGAGACTCCTGAACCTGCCATCCCTATGAAATATTATGAACAAACACATGATGAAAATCCCGAGGAGGATGACGAGGAAACCCTTGGTAGGGGCAAGAGACAAAGGACTGCAAAGACCTTTGATGATGATTTCTTCGTGTACCTCGTGGATGATACTCCCACTTCTATTTCAGAAGCGCATGCCTCTCCAGAAGCTGACTACTGAAAGGATGCGGTCCATAGCGAGATGGATTCCATCATGGCTAACGGGACATGGGAGATCACTGACCGTCCCTATGGTTGCAAACCACTGGGATGTAAGTGGGTGTTCAAAAAGAAGCTTAGGCCCGATGGTACGATTGAAAAGTACAAGGCTAGGCTTGTGGCCAAGGGCTATGACCAGCAAGAAGAGGAAGATTTCTTTGATACTTATTCACCTGTGGCTAGACTGACCACCATTCGAGTATTACTCTCGTTGGCGGCCTCACGTGGTCTTCTCGTCCATCAGATGGATGTTAAGACGGCTTTTCTAAATGGAGAGCTAAAGGAGGAAATCTACATGCAACAGCCTGATGGCTTTGTGATAGATGGTCAGGAAAGAAAGGTGTGTAGGTTGATAAAATCTTTATATGGCCTGAAACAAGCACCTAAGCAATGGCATGATAAGTTTAATACAACTCTGACATCTGTTGGTTTCGTTGTTAATGAGGCTGACAAATGTGTATACTATCGCCATGGTGGGGGCGAAGGAGTTATACTGTGCTTGTATGTTGATGACATACTGATATTCGGAACAAACCTCAAAGTCATTGAGGAGGTCAAATCGTTTCTATCTCAGAACTTTGAGATGAAAGACCTTGGTGTGGCTGATGTTATCTTGAACATCAAGCTACTGAGAGATAATGAGGGTGGGATCACACTTCTGCAATCCCATTACGTTGAGAAGGTGTTGAGTCGTTTTGGATATTCGGACTGCACACCATCTCAAACACCATATGACCCTAGCGTATTGATTCGAAAGTCCAAAGGCATGGCTAAAGATCAATTGAGATACTCTCAAATCATTGGTTCACTGATGTACCTAGCGAGCGCAACGAGGCCTGACATCGCGTTTGCTGTGAGCAAACTGAGCCGGTTTGTTTCCAAACCGGGTGATGTACATTGGCATGCTGTTGAGAGAGTTATGCGCTATCTGAAAGGTACTATGAACTATGGACTTCACTATACCGGATACCCGTCGGTACTTGAAGGGTATAGTGATGCGAATTGGATCTCTGATGCTGATGAGATGAAGGCCACAACTGGGTATATGTTTACTCTTGGAGGTGGCGCTGTTTCCTGGAAGTCTTGCAAGCAAACGATCTTAACGAGATCGACAATGGAAGCAGAATTAACGGCATTAGACACATCTGGTGTTGAAGCGAGATGGCTTCGAGATCTTTTGATGGACTTGCCATTGGTTGATAAACCGGTTCCGGCTATCCTTATGAACTGTGACAATCAAACTGTCATCACCAAGGTGAAGAGTTCAAAGGACAACATGAAGTCCACCAAACACATAAGAATGAGATTAAACGCTGTTAGAAAATTAAGAAACTCCGGAGTGATAGCGTTGGACTATGTCCATACGGCTAAGAATCTGGCAGATCCCTTTACAAAAGGGCTATCACGTGTTGTGATAGATAATGCATCGAGGGAGATGGGTATGAGACCCACATGAGTTGCCATGGTGGTAACCCAACCTATATGATCGGAGATCCCGTGAACTAGGACCTGGGAAAACAAGCCAGTGGTGAACTGAGGAGAGTAACTATACTAACCCACTCCGTTGGAGATGCAATACTCTCGATACTGTATGGTAGGATGACTACGGTCTCAATGTGTTCCAAAGCTTATAAAAGCAAGATGCTATCCTACAGAGCGATCTTTGGAGGAACACACCTATATGAGCCCGACTGCTGGTCACAGTCTATGAGATTGGGGTGATCTCTAGTAAGCTCATGAATAGGCCAGGAGTGTGACTTATATGCTCCACCCAAGGGGTCAGCCTTCGGCAGCCTAGTACTAGTAAGACATGTAGTGAAACTTTTTTACGCCAAACTGACAATTCAAGGCATAGTCCATTGTTCAGTTGTGAAGGAGTGTAGCCACTTGTTCTAGGTGAAGTTCAACCTTAACAGGTCTTTACTGAAACACTGGTATATCGAAACAGTAATTGGAACAGAGGACACAATGGGCCCTCGAGATCTGGTGGGGGATTGCTGAAATCTAAGATGGGCTCTAGGCCCATATTGCAATTTCTGAAAAATCTCTAAGGGCCCATGTGGGTTATATGGCACTAGGTGTGGTGGGAAGTTTAGTCCCACCCCGGAAGTGGAAGGAGAGTTGGAGTGGTTTATAAGGGTTTCTCTTCTACATGCTATTGGAGCTTGAGAAGAGAAGAGGCCCTCGCGCACTCCTCCTCCGCCGCCCGCCTCGCCACGCCACGCCTCGTCACGACGCGCCGCGGGTTGCGGGATTGAGCCGAGCCGAGCTCACACCTACGCGCTTATTTTTGCCAGTCACTAACAGAGAGTTTTCTGACAGCTGGGCCACGATCTGAGACGTCGGATCGTGGGCTGTCACGGACTCGGACGTGGGTCGAGCCCACGTCTCTCCACGCGGCTGCGCCTATAAGTATGCGGTGTCTCCTAACCCTAGCCGCCACGAACATATCACATCTGCTCACGCGCACGCCCACCGTCGTTCCTTTGCTACTGCTGCCGCCGGTGACTCCATCCCGTCCGCCACGTACACGGTTGACGGGAGAGCAGGTCTCTGAAACCACGCCCTTCTGGTTCCTGTACGGGGGAGGGGCGAATAGGTTTTTGGGCAGCGATTACGCGACTGCTCGCTTCCGATCGTCTACTTCCTCTACGTTCGCGTCGCCTTCGTCATCACCATGTCCACCGACGCCGATCGTGCCGCCGCCGAGAAAGCTGAAGCCGACAAGAAGGTCGCCGAGGACGCCGCTGCTGCCACCAAAGCCGCGGCCTCTGCGTGGCCTACTGGAGGGTATAACTCGTTTATCCCGCTCCTGATTATTTTCATATTAGCAGTACTAGCAGTATGTGTAGATTTGTCTACTGTTTGCTTAGTACGTGCATGTTTAGATCAGAGTCAGTACGTCATCAACTTAGTCAATGCCATGCTAGTGATTTACTCATGGATTAATTTAATCGAGAAATTGCCTATTTACTCAACAATTAATCTTCCTTTTGGCCTACATTTGGACTTTTCATAATGCCGGTCTGTGACGTTTAGGATTTTATAGGTTTTCTTGTTTTGACACATGGCAGCGCCTTGAAAATCTTGTGGCGTCATTGCAGTTTGAAATGTCCGGTTACATTATATGAACGGTAAGCTACTTGATTCCTCTAGTAGGCTTTTCAGATTCGGGGTGTGGCACGAGCTATGCGTTTATGGATGGCTAGCTCTGCTCTTACGGCTAAGCACCTGCAAACATAGCAGCTCCATCGCACACTATTGCTCTTTTAAGGGCTCATTTTGTTCAAAAGAAAAGTGACGGGAATTTTTCTTTGATCTCGATCGGTTTCAGAAAAAAAAAATCATGAATTTTAGAATCCACTGGAACCTCTTTTTCAAATTTCTACGCATAGGCTGAGATCCTTAGTAGCATAATAACATGCTAATAGTATCTTTTCATGTGGTTTGATTCGTTTTGAGTCTCTTTATTAGGATTCTTGTTTTTTCTTTCTATTATAGGATTCTTGTGCTTTTCCTATTCCCGTAAACCAAACACTCAAATTTGCAAAATTCATACAACTCGACAAAATTTTATATGGGCAGCTTTCCACATATGATTTTCAGGTATTTAATCTAAATGTCTTTTTTTTACGATATCAGCAGCTTAATTTGCTTGATTTGTGCACGTTAAAACACCTGGTACAAGGAACTACTAAAGCACTAGTATATCATACTAGTATATGTACAACCCTATTTACATCGGTCTATTTGTCTACTTGCACGTAAACGGAACATACGTACATACATGACCCACCGGCAACTTCCTCGTGTCTGCTATGTACACGTAACCGCTAGACCTAGAAAAAGAAGACCTACTTAATTTACAAACTAGCCCCTGTACCGTCCCGTATTCACACAAAGCATCCCGTCCGACACGCGTCCTCCTCCTCCGGTCCTTCAGGAGCAGGATCTGATGAGGCCAAGGTTGTAGAGATTCTTCTTCACCAGGCTGCCGAGCGAGAACAAGCCAGCGCCTGCGCCGCCGCCGCCGGCGTCCCCCTCCGTCGAGCAGAGGCGGGGCCACCGCTCCTCGTCCACGCGGAGGCTCTCGGTGCCGACCCCGTGGATGACCTCGTCGATGGTCTTGGGGTCGGCGGGGCGGCCGGCCACGTCGGTGACGTGGAAGACGTTCACGGCCATGTCGCCCCTGGTGGTGATCTCGGCGTGCGTGACCGAGAGGCTGTTCTCCCGGAACACGCGCGTCACGTAGGCCAGCAGCCCGCGGCGGTCGGAGATGCGCAGCTCCAGCCTCACGCCCTGTGAAAGAGGAGGATCGCGTTAGTCGGCGGCGGTGGGGTTTTCGGCCGAACACATGGCGCTCAAGTGGAAAGTTGGGCGGAAAGGGACTCTCTGGTGGGGGATCGGGTGCTTTTTTGTCCAGGGTGGCGTGGCATGGAGAGCAAGGAAAGGAGATATTCAATTGGGACGGACGGACGTACCTCGGACGCGCGCCTCTCGATCGCCGCTTCCAGGCATTGGATCACCCGCTGCCTCTCGCCCTCCGAGCTGATCGCCCGCCCGTCCAGCCGCCTGATGTAGAATTCCTGCGCCCAAGCCAAAGCAAACGGAAATCAGATCATAGCAATTACAACATGGAGTAATCTGAATTGTTTCTTGCAGGAGATGAACATTTCGACAAGGTCTTAAGTTAATCATATGATAATAATTGCAATTTTACGAGATATTCCTACAGTGCCTGTGATGTGATTGAGGTGAAACATGATCCCATTTCATGACAGGGAAAAGCTGATCCCGTTTGAACTTTTTGCCCGCTCGGAGTAGTTTGGAGCCAACCATAAGAACTGTGTTAAAATTGAATTAATCAGAGTAACCAATGAGGGCAACAGATTGGAAGGGCCAAGAAACGTCTAGGAAGCCCGGGCCAAGAAACGTCAAGAGCGGAATTTAAAGCTCCCCGAAATACGGGGCACACAACCTGCTCTAGAACAAATTTCCTGTAGATCAATTGAACAAGAAACTGCGAGAGGCCTCACCTGCTGCGCGTGATCGCCGTCGGTGTCGAAGGTGCCGTGGTACACCACGTAGTCCAGGTCTGTCAAGGTGCAGACGACGTCGAACAGCAGCTTCGGCCGGTCGCGGCAGCTCACGGTCACCACCGAGTACCCCCGTTCCCCCCACTCCTGCACCGCCACCGCCGTCGCCGTCGTCGCCGGCCCCTCCGCGGGGGCCCGGCGGTCGGCATCCCTGTCCTCGCTCAGCAGCTGGTGGAGCCTCCGGTCCAGGTTGCCGACCGCCGCCGCGTCGAGCAGGACCGTCCTCGCGCCGCGCGCGCCGCCCCGGAGGACGTGCCTGAGCCGGGACTCGATGCGCCTGATCCGGGCCGCGTCGTGGATGGGCGCGCCGGTGTCCTCGTCGCGGACGAACACCAGGGCGGCGACGCAGCCGCCGTGCGTCCACGCCTTGGCGTCCACGGTGCTGCAGCGCAGGTCGTGCAGCACGGCGAACACCTCCGAGAGGAGCCCCGGGCGGTCGACGCCGATGAGCTCGAGCAGGCAGAGCGCCTCCTTGGCGGGCGGGTCGCACCCCACCGGGCGCGGCAATGCGTCGGCCGCGGCCGCCGCGGCGGCGAGCGAGGACTCGAGCCGGACGAGCAGCTTGTCGGCGTCGGCGACCTTGCAGCCCGCTGCGTCCGTGACGTGGAAGACGTCCATGAACCACCGGCCGTCGTCGGAGGAGATGTACCCCTTCCGGACGCAGACGCCGTGCTCCGACAGCGCGGCCACCGCCTCCAGCAGCACGCCGTGCTTCCGCGCGCTGTGCACCTGCACCAGCGTCGCCGTCTCGCACACCCCGTTGTCCACCACGACCCTGCACCGCCGCGCAAACGCTCACCAAACCGCTCGAAATCGACGCAAGAACCAAGAAAGAACCGTGTCGCCAGACTGGAATCCCCCGCGCGCGCCCACTCCACTCACCTCGGGGTGTTCATGTGCCGGACGAAGAGCTCGTACACCTCGGACGGATGGCACCGCTCCATCGCCGCCGGAGCCCGATGGATCGCCGCGCTCGCCGCTTCCGTTTCCTTCCTTCCCCGGGCCTCCCGCGGCGGTTTCCTGCGCCCCTCGCCCTTTTTCTTTTCCCCACCCTTCCAAAGGGGAGGAGGAAGGTTTGGGTTGGGTGTGCGGAGCGGAGCGGTTCAAAATCGGGTGCGGAGGCGGAGATGGTGGGTTTTGGGTGCTGCTGTGCCGATCGCGGCGCGGGCAGTCGGTTTTGTGTGGGGAGGGCCGGTGTTGTCTCGGTCAGCGTCGGCTAAAACGGGCGGAGAAAATCAAGCCCCCAAACCAAACCAAACCAAATCCTCGCGATTCCTGGCGTGGATTTTGGTTTTGGTTCCCGGAGACAAACCGAGGACGGACCGAGCAAATGGAACTTGGACTAGCGACTGGTGTGTTCACTCCAGGCTGCGGATGAAAACGGAGGGAGGCCGCGGCGTGTGGGGAGGTTTTGTAGGAGATCCCCGACCGACCGTGTGACTGACAAGGGCGTGGGAAGAGGCAGGCTCGGGTGAGTGGCCCGTGCGTGGCTGCCACCAGTCACCACGTACGCACGGCGCACCTTTACAGATTCTTTCTTGCGTCTGGGTGCAACTTTGCTTTGCTCCAGACTACTCTACTCTGCTCGCCTCCGGTATTAGTATTAGTCTAATCGTGACACAGGATTATGAGTTACTCTTACGTGCTTGACTGCTTTTTTCCGAGACGTCGCCATCGAAGAATAGACCGAAAACATTAAACGCCTGACTGAACCTTCGCCGAAATGCTGACTCGTCTGCATTCCCATTCCATCAGCTCAGCTATGTAGAGTAACTTCACAAGCATGGCAAGCTACACACACATCCTATTTTTTGGGGACTAGAAGCATCAACGCAACGCACGAAGGGCAAAAGGCAGCTTTCATCGGCGTTGCTCTCTCTACGGGAGGGAAAGGGGTTAGCGGAACAGTGGAAAAGAAGGCCGCGGCGTTCGCACGCGCCACCGACCCGGGTCAACAACCGCGTCCAGAAAGGACGACCCACACCAATCCCGTGCCACGGCTCGCGCCCATACGTGCCGCGCCTGGTCCACCTCCACCGAACCGTGGCCCCGTCACGCGCCCATCTCTTCAGACGTGTCGCCGAGGGGTCCGTGCCACCGCCTCCGTCTTCTTGCTTGCCATCCAAGCTAACCATTGCCTGGAACCCGTCTCCACCTTTTTTTTTTCCTACTCTATATAAGCCGTCGCGGCCAACAAGATTCTTTTTTATTAAAGGGTAGGAACTTTTGCAAGTATACGAATAAACGAAACATGCTAGTTATATAGGATATTTTGTAAATATATGGAGACACAAACCCTGCAAGTTAGATTTGCAATTTGGCATGAACTGAACTATGTATCGTGAAGTTGGTAGAGCCTTGTGGATAAATGATCTGTAAAAGTCCTTCGCCAATATTTCCATGTGTGACCTACGTCTTCTTAGCCTGAACTCTATGTGTGCTAGACTTCGTTGGACAAACATGTTACAACCTGCTTTGACTTCCCTGTAGATGCATGGACACATATTTGTAGGAGGTAAGCCATTAGAGTAGTTTCCTATTTAAATATGCTTGTAATAACTGTTCACAGATCTACAGTATGTTGTCTTAATAGCACACATGAACTCCTCTTGAAGAATCAGGGCACAGTAAGCCTAGAAAACTACTAACCACCTATCAGTTTACAGAATATTTCTTCATTATGAACGCAAAATCAAATGATGTTTCTTAATATTCACAACATATATATTCAGAATAACTCGCATCACTAATAATTTACTCCATATACTCCCTCCGTTCCTTTATCTAAGGTGCATTTTTTTCAGCTCGGTGACCAAGGCAGCAATTTTTGGAGCATCTGGGACAATACTACCCCTGGTATTAGCTTAGCGTTGGAAATCAATTAGGTGAGCTTCCACTGATTTGGCCGCTGCATGCAGATACGCTGCCGGCCTTGCATGGCACATGCAATCCCCGTATCTCAAGAAATCAGCGATGCAAATAACTCTGTTGCCTCCTATAGGAAAATGAGCTCGCGCGGCAGAGAGAAAAAGGGAGGGAAGTCACTTGGCGCCAACAGAATGCAGATTTTAAAATATGTTCTCGTGTACAAAATGAGTCAACTCCCCATGGTTTTCTTCATTTCCCCCTTCTTCCAGTACTTGGCCAACAGAAAACATGGTTGATCTAGACTTGCATCCAGCACCTAATTGGATTCAATTAAGGAGAACGAAGACCGGGCCTGTGATCTTGGATACGACTATTACTGGTTAGCTTCCGATGACTCCGACGACGGTATGTCCTTGTGCAATCTCACCTTTTTGCAGTAATACTAGCAGGATAATTTTTTATTGCGGGCTCCATGTAGAAGTTGAGCATTCCCTCCATGACGGCAATGGATGCGAGCATGATCGACTTCATGCCAGCAAAGAAGCCGACGATGAGGCGGACCTCCTTGAACACAGGCGAGCTGCTTCTGCGGAGCACGGGCGACTTGATGTACGCACGCCGGCGGAAGACGCGGGGCGCGGCCAACGCGCCGGCGGGCGCGGACGCGGGCACGGCCAAGGCGCAGGCGGGCGCGGACGCGGGGATGGCCATGGCCAACGCGCCGGCGGGCGGGGACGCGCGCGAGGCCAACTTGCAGACGGACCCGGCCATGCAGTGGACGCAACGCAGGCTTCACAGGTATACGTACTGTATGTATTCCATACTCCTTGAACCAGATCATGTACTCCGGGGTAGTACTTGAACCGTTGTGTCACCATCTCTGCTCAGGTGGATCACCGAGGCGCTGGTGGACGAGGCCACGCAGAGGATGGAATACAGTGCAAGCCGCCGGTGAATCCAGCGGAGAAGTGGTGGCCGGTGTCCTTTTGCACGATGGTTTCGCTCAGAAGTAGGAAGACCTTCTATCCTGGGGCGATCCGGCTTGGTACAACCAGGGCCTATCTCTTCGACAGCGAACATGTTCTTATAGATTCTCGTGCGCGCCGGACCGGTGAAGTATTCATCCAGGGAACGGTTGTCATGTTCCCCTGCCATCTTGCGAACATCACCACCGGTGACCAAGGAGTTGATGCGGCAGGTTCTATGTGCGCACACGACTCAGGCCATGGAGAAGATGCTGCTGGTGGATGCGATGGCTCGGAAGTGGAAGAAGCTGCCAGTATGCACGCGGGCCTCGGACGTGCTCGTGGTGCACATGATGTCGTGCTTAAACGCATGCGTGCGGCGCTACTTGCTGGTCCTGTCGTCGGGCGTGGCCATGGAGGTGACGACAATGCCGTCGGGGACGCCAGTGACGCTCGACGTGGTCGTCGACGCTTGGGCTTGGCTGGTCGCAGCAGAATGCGCCCGGCTCTGACGAAGTGGCAAGGCGGCCTTACCGAAGTTGTTCCATCTTCGCTAAATGGCAGCAGCAATGATGCAACCAGCCCTGCCAACGTTAACCAAGGTGACTGTACAGAAAGTGTTCCATCTTTAGTAAATGGCAGCGGCAATGATGCAACCGGCCCCGCCGGCAACGTTAACCCATGCATCCATGTGGAGTTGAACAAAGGTGTTGTTCCAGAGAGTGACCCTGGAGTACAAGCTGAAGTAGCTGACACCGGCAGCAACAATGGTTAGTCTTCTGCATTAGTTATTTCTGTAGAGAATGTTAGTTCTTTTTAGCTGAAAGTAATTCAGTTCTTGTTCTGAATATTCTGTAGGCTCAAATGCTAATCAAAAAAAGAAGCGAAGATGGTACCCAGACCATCAAAAGCAAGAAATTTATGCTATGCTATTAGAGCGGACAAATCAAGGCGTACTAAACCAAGGGGTGGTTGACGAGGTGGCAGAGCTTTGTCAAGTTAATTACCGGACTGTTCAAAACATATGGTCGATAGGCAAGAAAGCCGGTGGTATTCATGGAGTAGCAAACAAAAGGGTGAAAACTTGTGGCCGCAAGAAGATACCGTTTGATTCAGATGCCATAAAAAAGATTGAATTGAGCAAAAGAACTACGCTCAAAGATCTTGCTAATGAGCTTCAAATGGCGAAGACAACTTTATGGAGAAGGTTGAAGGAGGGCAGACTGAAGCGCCATACAAATTCAATTAAATCCACATTGACTGATGACAACAAGGTGGGTCGGATTCGGTTTTGTTTATCCATGTTGGATGAGCTAAGTGTGCCTGAAGAACCCAGATTTAAAGGCATGTACAATGTCATTCACATTGATGAGAAGTGGTTCTACCGCACTAAAGGTACCCAGAACTACTACTTGGCACCTGATGAAGAAGAACCCTATCGCAGCACACAGAGCAAGGGATTTATCGAGAAAGTGATGTTCTTGGCAGCAGTAGCAAGGCCTCGTTATGATGATCATGGTGTCATGACTTTTGATGGCAAGATTGGAATTTGGCCATTCACATATCAGGACTTTGCAAAGAGGCGTAGCCCTTACCGAGAGAGGGGGGAAGAGGTAACCAAGGTTTTGCCGTTGGTGACGAAGGATGTCAGTAGAGATTATATGGTGAACAAGCTGCTACCTGCCATCAAGGCTTTGTGGCCGGCTTCGGAACGCGGACGCATAATATACATTCAGCAAGATAATGCAAAGACCCATATTGCTGTGAATGACAGTGTGTTTTGTGCAGCGGCACAGGCGGATGGATGGGATATTAGGCTTACATGTCAGCCGCCGAACTCACCTGATTTGAACATTCTTGACTTAGGATTCTTTGCTGCACTTCAGGCTCTTTTTGAGAAGATGTCCCCTGGTAAAATTGCTGATATTGTTGCAAAGGTGAAAAAAGCATATGACACCTACCCGGCTGAGAGAAGCAACCGTATTTTTCTTACCCTTCAGTCATGCATGTGCGAGGTACTGAAGCAGAAAGGAGGTAACCGGTACAAGGTTCCGCACATGAGGAAGTCATTTCTGGCGGCACTCGAAATGCTTCCGGACGTAGTACCCTGC